TTTCTGGCTGCAGTCTGCGTCTACAGTAATCTTTGCACCTAGAAATACAAAGTCAGTCACTGCCTCCACGTTTCTCCCTCTATTTCCCAGTTGTCAATCATTCTTGTTGCCATAAATATCATACGAAAGCTGACTGGCACAACCTGGGGATCACAACCAGATACAGTGAAGACATCTGCCCTCGCGCTGTGCTACTCTGCAGCTGAGTATGCATGCCCAGTGTGGAACACATCTCACCACACTAAAACAGTGGATGTGGCTCTTAATGAGACATGCCGCATTATCACGGGTGTCTGCGCCCTACACCACTGGAGAAATTACACTGCTTAGCCGGTATTGCACCACCTGACATCCGCTGGGAAGTAGCAGCCAATTGTGAAAGGACCAAGGCAGAGACATCTCCAGCTCATCCCCTGTTTGGGTATCAGCCAGCACGTCAACGACTTAAATCTAGACATAGTTTTCTAAGACCAGTTAGAAATTGTTTCCCATACCACTGCAGAGTCCTATGAAAATGGCTTTTAACCTTTCTAATTATTGAGAGTAAAGTTATCCTCAAATACTCTGATCCTACTGACCTCTATGGCTTGCACCTCTTTTGTATCATGGTGAATTTTGTGGATTTTGTTCCCTGCCTTTTTCTTGGAGCTGTCGTGCAGTGAAGATCATGTCCACGGTTCCTCTGGAGGGGCGGAAGCCATTCTGGGATTCTGGGAGGGGGTCTTCTGAGAGGGGCAGAAGGCAGTTTGCAAGAATTCTTGCGAGGATTTTCCCAGCGGAGGTTAGAAGGGAGAGACCTCGATAGTTTCCGCAGTCTGTCCTTTCCCCTTTTTTGAAGAGGATGATGATGGTGGCATCCTTGAAATCTGCTGGGATTTTCTCGGTCACCCACACTTTTTCTATGAGCTGGTGGAGAAATGCCTCTAGAACATGGCCATATAGCCCGAAAAAACCCACAAGAACCTAGCTGGTGGAGTTGTTGTGTCAGCTCAGGTCCTCCCTCTTTAAGGATTTCAGCAGGGATCCCATCAAGTCCGCTGGCTTTGTTATTTTTATCAACCACTGTACATGGCATTTATTGACTTTGCAAAGACATTCAATACAGAGAATCACAGTCCTCTGGACCATCCTCCAAAAAAATCAGGTGCCCTAACAAATTTATGAATATCCTGTGGCTCCTCCATGATGACATGATGGCAACAGTCTTGGGCAGCAATGGCTTCCAAAGTGACCCATTTAAGGTGGAATCCGGTGTCAAACAGGGATGTATTACTGCCCCAACTTTATTTTCCTTCTTCATCACTATGATACTTCATCTTGTTGACGGGAAGCTTCCCACCAGAGTGGAAATCATCAATCGGACAGATGGCAAGCTATTTGACCTCAGCAGACTGAAAGCCAAAACCAAGGTTACAACAACATCTGTCATAGAACTCCAGTATGCTGATGACAACATCATCTGTGCGTATTTAGAAGAAGACCTACAAGCCACTTTTGTAGATGCATAAGAGAAGCTCGGCCTCTCATTGAACATCAAGAAAACCAAAGTGCTGTTCTAGAAGTCACCAGCCAATCCCTCTCCAATGCTAGAAATACAGCTTAATGGTGCAACATTAGAAAATGTTGAGCATTTCCGCTCCCTTGGCAACCACCTCTCAACAAAAGTCAACATGGACACGGGAATACAACACCGCCTGAGCTCTGCAAGTGCAGCATTTTTCCAAATGAAGCAGAGTGTTTGAGGACCGGGACATCCATAGGGATACCAAGGTGCTTGTTTATAAAGCTATTCCCCTCCCAACCCTGCTATATGCCTGTGAGACGTGGACTGTCTACAGATATCACATGCAACTCCTGGAACAATTCCATCAGCGTTACCTTCAAAAATCCTGCAAATTTCTTGGGAAGATAGACGGACAAATGTCAGCATGCTGGAAGAAGCAAAGACCACTAGCATTGAAGCACTAGTCCTCCGCCATCAACTCCGCTGGACCAGCCATGTTGTCCAGATGCCTGACCACCATCTCCCAAAACTGTTGCTCTACTCCAAACTCAAGGATGGAAAACGGAATGTTGGTGGGCAGGAAAGGAGATTTAAAGCTGGGCTCAAAGCCAACCTTATAAACCGCTTTGAGTCGCCTGAGGGTTGAGAAAAACAGTATATAAATGAAGTAAATAAATAAATAAATAAACTGGCATAGACACTGAGAACTGGAAAGCCCTGGCCCTTGAGTGCTCCAGCTGGAGGCCAGCTGTGACCAGCAGTGCTGCAGAATTTGAAGAGGCATTAATGGAGGGCGAAAGAGAGAAACATGCCAAGAGGAAGGCGCATCAAGCCAACCCCAACCGGGACCGCCTTCCACCTGGAAACCAATGTCTCACTGCGGGAGAAGATGCGGATCAAGAATAGGGCTCCACACTCACCTACGGACCCACCACCAGGACACCGACCTTGGAGGACTATCTTACTCAGACAACGAGGGATCGCCTAAGTATATCATGGGTTCAAAGGAGACAGAGCTTAAGAATCAGAGATAGGCCATATTGTTGATTTTGCTATGCAGTATAGCCTTTTCTTTAATGGACATTAATGTCGAGGCAACTCATTGCATAAAATCTATGCTCATAATGTAGAGGTTCCCCAATACCATGGCGAAGATGTGTCAGGATTGTGGAGCACTGATGGGTATTGACTTCCCATCCCAGCAAACTGGACAATGGGTTGTTCTTCAAAAGTCCAGGTCAATATTTGTCTCTTGCGTCAATAAGCCCTGAATTTTCCCTCTAATGAGAGCCAGTAACTGCATATCAAGGCAATCTAAATCTGTCCTCAATAAAAGAAAGCCTCGTGCCTATCACAACAGAAGCCAAGCAGATGGATTAGGCAGGTGGATTAGATGAAGAGTCATCTAGCTATTTTCCATGATGGCAGGTCATGTCCCTTTCTTTGCTTCACCGAGATGTACACAATGTGCAAGAACAGCTCCCATAATTGCATGCTTATGAATTCTTTCAAATTGCGTGGTATAAGCTTTGCATTTAAAGAAAACCAAGTGGTGCTTAATTGCTCCGCAAAGTGCAGGTTTTGGTTCTCAAAAGGATAACAGAAGAAGTTTGACAGTAAAAAGCAGCAGACAAATTGCCTTGTTATTGCTCAATAGATTTTTTGGAACTTGTCCTCGGAGGCTATGTGTGTTCATCAGAACAGAAATAGTTTCTCCTTCCTGGGAATACGAGGAGCTGGTGTGATGGTGTGAGAAGAGGTCTCAGGTAGAGAGTTCTCAGAACTCTGATCAAACCTGCCAATTCTTGGAACACTTTGGAAGAAGCAAGGACAACTGGGATTGCAAAAACATAATGTAATGGTTATATCTCAGTGGTTGGTCCTAGAATCATATTTGTTTGTTTGTTTGTTTGTTTGTTTGTTTACAGCTTTTCTATTCCGCCCTTCTCCTCACCCCGCAGGGGACTCAGGGCGGATTACATTGAACACATATATGGCAAACATTCAATGCCATTTTTTGATATCCGGCAGGGGAGCTGTCGCTTTCATCGTCCATCTGCGACGCTGATGAAGCACTTCCGCATTCCCCGCATGCTTCCCCGCTGGACTGCTTTGCTGGAGTCTTCTTTATGGCCTCATAAATCAGTTAATTTAGCCTCCCCACACTTTAAAGGTGGTACCTAATTTTCCTACTTGACAGATGCAACTGTCTTTCGGGTTGCAAAGGTCGACAACAGGCTACACACAATTGGTTGGAAACCCACTCCAACCCGGGCTGGCTTCGAACTCATGACCTTTTGGTCAGAGTGATCTTAATGCAGCTGACACTTCGCCAGCTGCGCCACAATCCTGGTGGAATCATAGAAGTGGAAGAGACCGCAGGGGCCATCCGGTCCAACCCTATAGTCTGTACTATAATTAAGTAATTGAATTAATTGTTGGTGGTGTGTCATAAATATTTTTGGTGATCATCTGTCTGGAACCAGTTTAATTTTGCTGCCAGATCAAAATTATACCTGCATCCTAAACTCTTTTAACTCTCCTTATGATTATCTGCAGTTAATGGTGCAGTGGGTTAAAACATTGAGCTGCTAAACTTGTTGACCAAAAGGTCGCAGGTTTGAATCCAGGGACTGGTGTGAGCTCCCACTGTCAGCCCCAGCTTCTGCCCTAGCAGTTCGAAAACATGCAAATGTGAGTAGATCAGTAGGTACCGCTCCAGCGGGAAGGTAACAGCGCTCCTTGCAGTCATGCTGGCCACATTACCTTGGAGGTGTCTGTGGACAATGCTGGCTCTTCGGCTTAGAAATGGAGATGAGCACCAACCCTCAGAGTCGGACACGACTGGACTTAATGTCAGGGGAAAACCTTAATGTTGCCTTCAGAATAGGAGGCTGAGAGGAGATATGATGAGGGCCGTGTATAAATATGTGAGAGGAAGCCACAGGGAGGAGGAGGAGGGAGCAAGCTTCCTTTCTGCTTCCCTGGAGACTAGGACGCAAGGGAGCCATGGCTTCAAACTACAAGAGAGGAGATTCCATCTGAACACGAGGAAGAACTTCCTGACTGTGAGAGCCGTTCAGCAGTGGAACTCTCTGCCCCGGAGCGTGGTGGAAGGAGGCTCCTTCTTTGGAAGCTTTGAAACAGGGGCTGGATGGCCATCTGTCAGGGGTGCTTTGAATGCATAATGGGATTGGATTGGATGATGGCCAAGGAGGTCTCTTCCAACTCTAGGATTCTAGGATTCTCGGATTCTATGATAGGTGTCCTTAAGTGACTATTCTTGGAGTTTTCACCAACTCTTCCCTTGGAGAGCACATAACAGTTCTTTAACCCAACTGGGTGGCGTAAGGCCCTTCCACACAGCCTTTGAACTTGGCTATTTGAGTCCACTCTGCCCTAAATCCCAGTTCAAAACAGATCATGTGGGATTTTATTCAGCTGTGTAGAAGGGGCTGCAGAAGCATTTAACAGCCTCCTTTTCTTTCACCCCCAGGTGTTTTGTGACTACCATGGCCATTCCCAGAAGAAGAATGTATTCCTGTATGGATGCAGTATAAAGGAAACCTTATGGCAAGCAGGGTGCACAGTTGACCCCACTGTTGTCACTGAGGACGTTGGGTATAGGGTAAGCCATGCTTTCTGTTGTACAAACTGTATTTCCTCCCAGGTGCTGCTGATAAGATTGGTTTCTTCTTCATTCATGGTTTAGGCCAGGGGTTCTCAAGCTGTAGGTCCCCAGTTGTGTTGGCCTTCAACTCCCAGAAATCGAACAGCTAGTAAATTGTCTGGGATATCTGGGAGTTGTAGGCCAAAACACCTATTTTTATTTATCGTGTCAGTCTCAACCAGACAATTGTATTACATTTTTAACATTTTTTTAACAGACAAAACAGAGTTTGCAAGCTTGGTAGTTGATTAAATGTCCTTTGACCAGTATCTGGTTACTTGTAGGGCCTCTGGTGTTGCCGCAAGGAGGTCCTCCCTTGTGCATGTGGCGGGGCTCACCTAGGGACCCATAGGTTGAGAATCGCTGGTTTAGGCTTTGAGTAATCCCCTCCAAGAAAAGTCATATGGTTGGACAGAGTATGCCAGGCCTCACCTGGAATCACACTGTGTCCAATTCTGGGCACCACAGTTCAAAAGAGAGATTGACAAGCGGGAAGGTGTCCAGAGAAAGAGGGTGACTCAAAGGATTAACAGTCTGGAGAACAAGCTCTATGAGCAGCTGCTCGTGATCCATTCTGGTCAAAGCCTTGGCTGTATCTTGCCTGGTCCATTTTCAGTGGTCCAGCTGCCAGATCACTGAATTTTCCTGAATCCTAAATAGCCAACTGGAATTCTGCACATCCCTAATCATTTGTGTATGTGTGTAACCTACAGGCCTGTAGAGGCTGCGGTAGCACAGTGGGTTAAACCACTAGCTGCAGAAAACTTGCTGACTGCAAGGCTGGCAGGTCAAAGCCATGGGTCAAAGTGAGTTCCCGCTGTTAGCCTTAGCTTCTCCCAACCTAGTAGTTCAAGAACATGCAATTAGTAGATCAATAGGTACCAACACGGCAGGAAGGTAAAAGGCACCCGTGCAGCCATGACAGCAAAGCATGAACAGGAGGTGTCTACACACAACAGATTCTTCGGTATGGAAATTGAACAAGAGCACCTCTCCATGGCCAGAGTTGAGCACTGCCTCTAGATGCCAGAGATGGAAAGGGAATCCTTTGCCTTTGTTTGTGTGTTGTATGTATGACGCCCAACTCTACTACTCTTTTCCACCCAACTCCAAGGAAGCCCCTTGGGTGCTGGACAAGTGCCTGGCCACTGTGGCTGTCTGGATGAGGACAAATAAGCTGAGGATTAATCCCGACAAGATAGAGGTCCTCCTGGTTGATTGTAAGCCGGATCGGGGTATCGGGTGGCAACCTGTGCTGGACGGGGTTGCACTCCCCCTGAAGCCACAGGTGCGCAGCTTGGGTGTCCTCCTGGACTCATCACTTACGCTTGAAACCCTAATAGCTAACGCTTTCAATTGAGCCTTTGCACAATTGAAACTTGTGCGCCAGATGTGACCATACCCCGTGAAGGCGGATTTGGCCACAGTGGTCCACACCTTAGGTAAAGGTAGAGGTAGTCCCCTGACATTAAGTCCAGTCATGTCTGACTCTGGGACTGTGGTGCTCATCTCCATTTCTAAGCCGAAGAGCCAACGTTGTCCGTAGACACCTCCAAGGTCCTGTGGCCGGCATGACTGCATGGAGTGCCGTTACCTTCCCGCCGGAGTGGTACCTATTGATCTACTCACATTTGCATGTTTTCGAACTGCTAGGTTGGCAGAAGCTGGGGCTGACAGCGGAAGCTCACGCCGCTCCCCGGAATCGAAACTGCGACCTTTCGATCAACAAGCTCAGCAGCTCAGTGCTTTAACCCACTGCGCCACCAGGGGCTCCGGTCCACACCTTAGTTACCTCTAGATTGGACTATTGCAATGCCCTCTATGTGGGGCTGCCCTTGAAGATGGCCCAGAAATTTAAACTTGTCCAACGGGCAGTGGCCAGATTATTAACTGGAGCGAATTACAGAGAGCGGTCAACCCTCTTGTTTAAGGAGCTCCACTGGCTGCCATTTAACTTCCGGGCACAATTCAAGGTGCAGGTTTTGACCTACAAAGCCCTGAACGGTTTGGGACCTGCCTACCTGCATGACTGCATTTCCGTCTATGAACCCACGCAACCTCCTTGATCTTCCGGAGAGGCTCTTCTCTTGCTTCTGCCTGCATCGCAAGTGCGACTTGTGGGGACGAGAGAAAGGGCCTTCTCTGTGGTGGCCCCCCGGCTCTGGAATTCACTCCCCAGAGACATTAGGCAAGCCCCCACACTGGCAATCTTCAGGAGGAATCTGAAAACCTGGTCATTCCAATGTGCCTTCAATGATTGAATGTAAGATACTCCCTGACCAAATTTCACACTTTATTTTATGTTTCGCGCAATTCCTTCCTCAATCCGGATCTCCCTTCCCAATAATTTCCATTGCCTAATCTCCCAGTGTTTTAAAATTTTAAATTTTTATCCTTAAATTTGGCCTTTCCCCATGCAATTTTTGTGTGTTTAATGTCTGATTTTATACTGCTGTCTCGCTTATTATTTAGGTTTTGCATTTTATGTTTTTTAGTTCCGTTATGCCTTGCGTTATATTGTATTATGCTTTGTGTAATATTGTGTTTACTGTATTGATGGGCGTGGCCTCATCGGGTACTGGACATCTCCCCTGGGTACATCTCCCCTGGGGGGTATAAATAAAGTATTATTATTATTATTAATATGCTATTGTTGTTCACTGTGACAACACTGTAACAACAAGGCATTGAATGTTTGCCTCTTTACGTGTATACTGTAATCTGCTCAGAGTCCCCTTTGGGAGATAGAGCGGAATATCAATAAAGTGTATGATTATGTATTGCAGTCTTCAATATTCCCATCATTTGAAATTACTAGTAATTGTGGTTAGGATTGATAGGAGTTCAATGAATGGAGGGCAACGGATTCCTTACTATTCATTGGAAGTTGGAATAGGGAGGGATTTTGTATTCTTAGTATCCTTGTCCATATAAACCAGGGGTCCTCAAACTAAGGCCCAAGGTCCAGATACGGCCCTCCAGGGTCATTTATCCGGCCCTCGCTCAGGGTCAACCTAAGTCTGAAATGACTTGAAAGCACACAACAACAACAACAACAACAACAACAACAATCAGCCTCATAAGCCAAAAGCAGCCCAACACTTCCCATAGAAATACTAATAAGTTTATATTTGCTAAAATTGTTCTTCATTTTAATTATTGTATTGTTTTAAAGGTTTTTTTTTTTGTACTACAAGTAAGATATGTGCAGTGTGCGTACGAATTCATTCGTGCTTTTTTCAAATTATAATCTGGCCTTCCAAAAGTTTGAGGGACTGTGACCTGGCCCTCTGTTTGGAAAGTTTGAGGACTCCTGATATAAACAAAGGAAGAGTTTCAGAATGTAATCCTTTTAGAAACAAATTTTGGGTTTCTGAGTAGTAAAAAAATTGCAAGAAAAAAACCCTGTCTCCTTCGAGTAGCTTTTGAAAAAGTAAGTGTAAAAAGTAAAAGTAGAGTAGCTTTTGAAAAAGTAACTGGACTGCAACTCTGAGAAACCTGTACCCAGAATGGCCAGTGACCATCCTACAGGAATGTCTGGGTTCTTTTCCCCAGTGGATTGCAAGCTTGATGAAAATTCAGGTCATCCTTATCTCTAAATCATATTCAACTTTGGAACAACACACTATCTTCAACGGAGGTTGGACTGAAATGAACATTGAATGCAATTGGCTCTGGATACCTGGGAAGTGGTTTGGTTTCATGTATGAGGGGGATTTTTTAAGTAAGGTCCGTTTTATTTATTTATTTATTATTTATTTATTTGATGCATTTATTAACCGCCATTCTCAGCCCTTTAGGGCGACTCATGGCGGTGTACACACATATAAAAGACAATTTACAAAAGGCAATTACAACAACATATAAACTACATAACAATTACAAAAACTACACTAAAAATCCGCTTCGTCTCATAGTGGAATCATAAGCCAATCTCATATTCCTTGTTCCATTCCAATCATCTTTACCACATTGTTATAGCATTTAATTAAATGCCTGCTCGAATAGCCATGTCTTTAAGCTTTTACGAAAAGACATAAGGGAGGGCGCCTGTCTGATGTGTTCCACAGCCGGGGGGCCACCACTGAGAAGGCCCTCTCTCTCGTCCCCACCAGGCGTGCCTGTGAGGCAGGCGGGATCGAGAGAAGGGCCTCCCCAGACGATCTCAAGGTCCTCGTGGGCTCATAGGCCAAGATGCGGTCTGAGAGGTATTTTGGGCCGGAGCCGTTTAGGGCTTTGTAGGCCAACACCAGCACCTTAAATTGGGCCCGGTAGCAAATCGGCAGCCAATGGAGCTGGGACAACAAGGGCGTTGTATGCTCCCTGCCTCCCGCTCCAGTTAGTAACATGGCTGCCGCGCGCTGAACCAGCTGAAGCTTCCGGGCCATCTTCAAGGGCAGCCCCACGTAGAGAGCGTTGCAGTAGTCAAGGCGGGATGTGACCAGAGCGTGTACCACCGTGGCCAAGTCAGACTTCCCGAGATACGGGCGCAGCTGGCGCACGAGCCTAAGCTGTGCAAATGCTCCCCTGGTCACCGCTGACACCTGGGGATCCAGGCTCAACGATGAGTCCAGGGTCACACCCAAGCTGCGAACCTGCGCCTTCAAGGGGAGTGCGACCCCATCCAGCACAGGCTGTAACCCTATACCCCGTTCGGCCTTGCGACTGACCAGGAGTACCTCTGTCTTGTCTGGATTTAATTTCAGTTTGTTCGCCCTCATCCAGACCATTACAGCGGCCAGGCACCGGTTCAGGACCTCGACAGCCTCCTTAGTAGCAGGTGGAAAGGAGTGACAGAGTTGGACATCAGCTGCGTACAGATGACACCGCACCCCGAAACTCCGGATGATCTCACCCAGCGGCTTCATGTAGATATTAAACAGCATGGGGGACAGTATAGAGCCCTGTGGAACCCCACAGGTCAAAGGCTGTGGTGTTGAACAGGAGTCCCCCAATAA